TTGTTGTTGTTGTTTTATACAGAAAGATTGATTGATTTGTGACCTCTCAGAAGAGTACTGTACTTGACCCTGCTTGACTACAATTTACTGTCTTCATTGACTAAATGTGTTCAGCAAATCCTACAAAAAAGACAAACACAAGGAAAACTAAAACACTGTTTACAAAATAACAACAACACTTAGGAGCCTAAACGGAGGCCAAAAATCAGCAGTCAGTAGGTGTAGTTTATGTTTATGTAATTTATGTACAAAAAAAAATATTCGAGTCTCTTCAGTACCTTCGAATACAAGCTGCGAGGAGCGACGTGAGGCGATTGTATTCAATGGATATGTAATTTAGAAGTTATATTTCAACATTAAAAGATGAGTGAAATTAACATACTACTTTACGAACAATTAGCAGGGTTAATCTAGGATATTACTTGAGCGGAGCAGTTCTCAACACAAACAAGTCTGCCAATTGGAACATTGCACACCGTGTGCGTACACTTGTTCGGCACTAGCTCCGAATGTAGTTAATTTCGGTCATTTTCAATCGAAATGTACGGCTGGAAAATAACAGCACTCAGTCTGTAACTATGCCTATACCACAATTCCATCCTTAAAACATCTGTCAATCGTAGTTATGAATAGAAAGAAGAAGGAACCTTCTAAATAAAGGCGTCCCAAAATAGTCCACAAGTCTAGTAAATATGGCTCTGTAAGGTAAATTTTTGGGACGAAATTTTCTCAAAGACAAGGACAAATAACACAAAACAACAACAAGAAGTACTTACCTCGAAGGTTCAAGTGTGGCTTTGAAGGGTCGCCATCGCCGTAAGACAACAAACGAAGGGAAAAACATACACCAAAAATTAAAGTAGCACTAAAAACTCCGAAAAAGAACAACATGCAGGCAAACAAACCCTACATTTCGACTGGTTTGCGCCACATTTTCGCCATCGTTTCGTCACAAATTTCCACTATGATGGAACCAGTCAACGCTATCTTGAAGCACGAACCAGCCAATCGGCGATTAGAAATCAGCCCACGTGACATAAGTTTCCTATCCAGTCTTTCTATTATCCATGCTAATATGAAGACAAAGCCACCAGGTGAGACAATTTAGCAATGCGTTCATCCGTGGCTCTAATACTTCCATCGAGAGTGTTATGAACACGAAGCCACGAGAAAATTTGAACGGGCTCCCACAGGGACTTTTCCTCATTAGGAATTCGAACAAAGCGAGACTAAGGCAAATCGGCATGGACAGCCCGCAAACTGTAAATTTTGGCCTGAACGCGATAGGCTCCTCCTCCTATAGCCAGACCATAGTCAAGAAAAATGGCACTAGGGATACCTTGGCTTCTTCTTGATTTCTGAAGCGGTTTGAGGGAGGCTGACAAGAACCCAAAGGGAAGCGCGCAAAGTAGAAAATACCTAAAAATCCAGGTGCCGAGATCCCAGGTGAACGCAAGGAAATACCGGTGATCAGGGAAGATTACGATAACCGCACTAGAGATAAAATATAAATAAATAAAAACCCATCTCAAAAATTAAAGTGGCCATGGACAAGTCTCCGCACTTGAATTTTTGTTTGTAGAAAAAGGTGCAAACGTGCCTAAAATCCAGGATTAACCTTTGTTAGACGGAGCGGCGGGTCAAACAGAAAGCGGGTAAATGATATTGGAATGCAAAAAATGTCTGAAAGGAGGTTGACACTGGGAAGCTCATTAACAGCTACGGACAAAAAGAACTGTAAACACGTGCGGAGGCATTATAGGATAGTAAAAAAAACATAAAAAGCTGGAAGAAGGGAATTTAGTACTTAGACTAATAACATTCAAAATGAACAGAGAAACTAGCAGAGTATGCCAGAAATAGGTCACTATGAAAAATATTCCCCAAACTGAAGGTAGAATAGAAATATCAACGGTACACTCAGAGCTCTAAACCGCGTCTAAAACTAGCGGGGTGAACGTCAGAAGAAACTGGTATAACATAGAGACAATCCTGATCCATATTACGGCTTGCCGCTTAAAAAATTCAGTACTAAATTAGAATAGACTGCACCTGATTGTTGTCCTTCATCTAGCCATTTAGGAGTTTGGAATGTTTGGCTTGTCCATCGTCGGGTAACAGGAACGCTTTCCACAGGCAAAACAGGTCCCGACACTGGGTCGACGAGAAGGCGAAAAACAGGAACGCTTGACATAAGAGGCTGGGGTTGCATATGTGAACTTGAGGTGGACGCCGGCGTTCCCACTGGCGAGGATCTGTTGTTGAGAGTTGAAAGAGTGGTCTTCTTCTTCTTCTTACGGGCCTAGTACGCTACATGGCCGCAAAATTCTGCACTGTGGATCCTTTGAAGCTGGTCTTCGTTGGCCTTCTTCGTGAACTTACGTGGTTCGTTATACTTTAGTTTCTTAATTTCTTTCATCTGCTGCTCGGCCAAATATTCGTTAGCGCGCTTGATTTGACCAACGGTTTCTGTTAACAAATCTTTAAACGAGTGCATTAACTGTTTGTTATTCTCCTAAATGAGATCGGACACTTCGTCTTTGCTGACGGATATAACGCAAGAAAGAGCCGATAAGAACGTTAAGAAAAACCAAAGAAAGGGTGGTTCGTAAGCCTAGATGACGTACACGTGATATACGCAGCTTTATATACCCCCGATATGGCTACCCATGGTGCACCCGGCCTAGTACCCAGGCCCTGTTGTATCTCGTGCCGTCAAAATATTTATTTCTGTCTTCGCGGGCTCATTCGTCAGAAATAACATTTTCCCCAATCAATCAAAGTCTGAAGCCAGAGAAGTCGACGTCTGAATACCTCGGGGAATAATTCTGATTGGCTCACACTGTTTTTGTCATAATTTAAGCTTAATAGCAGGACAAAATCCACGATTTATATTGTCACGAGCAAAGGCTCTGCGATCATTTGATTTTTCTTGTAATGGCCTGAATCAGTCGTTTGGTATTTTGCGTAAACACGGCTAACCGGAACCGTTGTGTAGAACTGAAGGCGGCTAACAAGTGACCTGAGAGGAAAGGGGATGTTTGCTATTAAATCTGAGCAATCGTCTGAATAGTGATTTATCCGGTGGGTAGCGCTAGCAAATCTTTTCGCAATTTTTAGAAAACTTCAGGATTTTTTTCTTGTATTAAAAGATTTTTAGACATTTTAAGGAGTTTGATTGGATATTTAGAGATGAAGCTGGAGATTTTTAAAGGTTTTCATGGAGAAATTCCGGAAAGATATGTAGGCCATTTCCCGGGATTTTTATAGCTCAGTGGGCCTCCGAACGACTGGGGCCTGGTACAGAGGAAGCTCACCCCATAACTTGTCAAGACCTAAATTGGCGTCATAATGTGACGGTGACAAAAACCTATTAAAGGAAAGCACGACACACTATTCCGTCAATTGCACGGAAGCATTGACGATACAAATTTGGCGTGTGGAGGTTTGTTTAACGACTAAAACCCTTTTTTACCGGCAAAATTATCATCCACATCACAAGATGGATTCAAGACTGAACACAAATCAGTTGAACGAGGCTTTAAACCAGTTGGCAGATTGGTTTCCAGAAGAAGCAACCAATCTGAAAAACAATCGAGATGCTATCATAAAGTGTATCTTTGAAGGTACCGAACCTGCACCAGGTTCCAAACTCCTGAGCCTAAAGAGCAGTGCTGCGCATGAGCCTCCTGCCTCCTTGCCACCTCTTACACCTTGCGAGGAAGCTATCGGCGTGGTGATAGTCGATGCAGTAATGTTCCTCTTGGGCCTAATTGGGCTGCATGTGTCCAACCAACAACGGATTGCTCGAGCACTTTTAAAAAATTTAAGCCCAGATACTCTTCGTGGATTCCTTCGAGATATACGCAATTTTAACGAAGCCACAGGTGCGTTGAACAAGGCTAAAGCCCTCTTCAAACTCTTGGGTGGGATTTATAAAGCTGGCTGTCTCCGTGCTGTCTTCAAGGTGCTCAAGGAAGAGATGACATGGTGGGAATGGGTCAAGACAGGCATGATTGCCGTAGCCCAGATTATGGTATGGTTTGCAACTGATGGCGTTGCCTTCGTAGCAGAAGCAGCCCTGAGCATCATGAGCGCCGAAAGTCTAATAGAGGATGCAATTAAAGCTGATAAAGTGTGTGGAAAGTAAAGTGGACGTGGTGTTATTGAAAATTGTTACCGTCAGTTATTTTCTTTTCCTGAAGAACTTGTGATCATGTCATTTTATTGGTTCAGTTTAAAGCTAGCTTAATGTGTTCAGATATCGTTCTTTAAACTGTCTAGAAATTGGAATGACAATTATAGTGATCGTTTTCATTCAAGTGTAACACGATAGTTCTTACTGCAAATTATTGAGTTTAATTTACGGAATTAATCGAAGTCTGAAGTCAGAAAGGTTCTTTACAGCATTATAAAATTGTGGTTCGTACATGAAGTAACCCTGTTGCTTCGCACTTGAGAAAGTTTCAGAGGAGAAGAAGAGATGGCGTGATCCATAAACTTGCTAAGAGTTCAATTAGGTTTTTATTCTCATAGGCCTTTCTTCGCGTTGCTTTTCCAGTGGGCGTGAAAATGTGTTTACAATCCCGCGGCAGTTCGAGGAAATTGTTTCGCACTGGTCTGTCATAATTTAAAGTTACTAGCAGGGCAAATTCCACGATTTATATTGTCACGAGCAAAGGCTTTGCGATCATTTGATTTTTCTTGTAATGGCCTGAATCAGTCGTTTGCATAAAACGGATTTGTTCCGAATGGCGTGGGCAACACATCTTGACTTCCGCAAAGTGTTCACTGGACTCTTCTTTCGCAGAGAGTTTGATGAAACTTATGGACCAGAGCCAACAAATTTTCCATATTGTTGAACAGCAACAAGCTTCATTTCGCTTTAGAATATTAATAGTTGCACAAGGTGGTTTTAGTCTAACGGTCAGTTACATGCAGTGTAATAAATGGAAAACTAAAATACATTACAGGTAGGGAGATGCCTAGCATCTAAATAAACCGTTAGGTTTCCGAGTTAAATGCTAGTCTTGTATTGTTACAATTTTAATATGTAGACATCAAGTGCAAAACATAAGTGCTGATGTCTACCTAGGGCAAAAATGTTTGCCAATAATGGCGGAGCTATGAAAACACGTCAGGCCGCCATAACTGACGCCGTAAATAAACCGCACTATCCAGGGAATGTTTGCTATTAGATCTGAGGAATCGTCTGGATAGTGATTTACCCGGTGGATAGCGTTAACAAATCTTTGCGCGAGTGTTAGAAAATTGCCGGATTTTTGTTATTGTATTAAAAGATTTTTTAGACATTTTAAGGAGTTTGGTGGGATATTTAGAGATGAAGCTGGAGATTTGTAGAAAACTTTCATTGAAAAAATCCGGAAAGATGTTTAGGCCATTTTCCCAGGATTTTTATAGCTCGGTGGGCCTCCGAACGACTGGGGCCTGGTACAGAGGAAGATCACCCCATCAGTTGTCAAAACTAAATTGACAGCCTCTCTGAACTGTCATAATGTGATATGATAAACACTGATTCGTTTCCAGTCGTCTCTTTTGTCTCCTAATTAAATAATAACGAAGGATGCGCGCGGGGGGAATTGGGAAAGGGTGACAAAAACGCAGTGTGGGGTGACAAAAATAACGACACGCTTATGGGTCAGCTGAAAGTTCTTCAAACCAAGGCCGCCAAGGTTCTGCTTAATTTATCACCAAGAAGTTCATCAACCAAGGCACCAGTTCGATTGGACCTAAAGAACCTCTCAAAGAGACGGCACTTCCACCGCTGTATTATGATCCAAAAATATCTGTCCTGGGAAATTGATTTTAAATTTGACATTAGACGCAATAGCAGTTTTCATTCTTATCAAACTCGCAGAAGCAATGATTTACACCTTCCTCGCGTGCGCACCAATTGGTGCAAGCTAACTTTCATTTTTCAAGCCTTTAAGGACTGGAACAACCTACAATTGTAGACAATGACGTTAAAAACAGAAAATCATTGTCCTTCTCTAAGGCAAAGCTTAAAACTTTGTAAATAATGCCCTATCTAATTGTTAAACCATTTTAAAATTAGTTTTATATGTAACTATCAATTTTTATATCTTTTCTTAGTTTTTAATTTTTAAAGTAGGTAATTTTTTTTGTCTTTTTGTCATATAAGATTTGCAGGGCCCCACTGAAAACCGCTAAGGCGCGTGGGCTCCCTGGATAATTATTATTATTATTATTATTATTATTATTATTATTATTATTCAGGATGATAAGGAGATGTAATAGTCTACCGCGACCGTTCCATGACCGCCAACTACTCTCACTGCATACATAATTGGCCCGTGAAGGGGGAAATAGGAAACTCCTTTAAATTCCGTCGTGTTGGGTCTGCGCGCTATTGGCATGATGCATTATGGCCCTTGCTTAGAATTGCTCGGTTTTTACTCGCCTCTTGGCCAGTTCAACGGAGTTCAGTGGAAGTGACTTCAAAGTTTCGCTGTGGTTTCAACCGCCACCAGCCGCTTTTGGAGAACTTATCCGTTTGTTCAGTTTCTGCTTTGTTTTTATCGAAAAGGAAAAATCACATTTCTTACATCGCTGGCAACAATTATGATAAATCCTTTGTCAAACAAAAAGATGTTTAGAAAGATGCTGTGATAGAATGGCAAGTATCTAGACGGCGAAGATTACCAAGTTGCAATTGTAACGAGTCTTTTCTCGCGCCATGTAAGCTAATCAGGATTCTGGAATCCGGAAAATCAGGATCAGTAAACGTTTCTGGGAATCTACCCACCTACCCCTTCCCTAAGCCAACATGAACACTTTATACTTCTTACTTAGGGCAAAACGCTGGCTTAGGGGAGGGAGAGGTAAGCAAATTCCCAGGAACGTATAATGATCCGAAAATCCTAGGCTTTGGAATCCGTAATCCAGTTCAAGGAATCCAGAATCCACAGACAAGGGATCCGGAATCCAGTACCTGGAATCCAGAATCAAGAGCCTTAAATAATTCAAAGTGGACAGACTGCAAATTATAGTAACTGCTAACAAATATATCTACGTGTCGTAACTGTTCATCTACCTAAAATGAGGCTGCGTTCGATTGATCGTATTGCGGAATAAGAATACGCAAAAGTTTTGTTACTTATCTCTTATACGGTACTTTTTTGTGCCACTTAAACGCTACAGTCATCGGGATATCTTATTTCCAACAGACTTCTAGTTATTGCAAGGCAATGAACGTCAAAATGAGTGATTTTAAGCGTTTATTCCATTTATTCTTATTCAGGAATACGGTCAATCGAACAAGCCCTAAGACTGTGAGGACTCTTATAATCCTCTAATAAACACCGCATTCTTCTGACTGTGTGCTTTGTTTATTCGAGGGCGGCGTTTATTGGTAATTTTGCTTTTATCTACGGCGTTTAATCGAGGGAGGCGTTTATTCGAGAGCGGCGTTTATTGGTAATTTTGCTTTTAACTGCAGCGTTTAATCGAGGGAGGCGTTAATTCGAGGGCGGCGTTTGATCGAGGAAGACACTTATTCGAGACCGGCGTTTAATCCAGAAATTACGGTATTTTTCTCATTTGTGCCCCCACAGATATACAACTGGTCACTATTGACCACAAAGACAAATAATCCAACAAGTATAGATCCATCAGAGCTAACTGTTCGACTAATGAGTCGTTTTTAAAAAATATAAATGGTTACTAATTGTTTGACTCTAATGGCTTGATAACCCTGGGGGCACTCCCTGATCTGGCCTAAACGGGTATGTGCCTCTAAACAGGGTTTGGTTTTCAGGGTCTTGAGTCTTAAACAAAGTACACAATTACACTAGTAAAGGTCGTGAAAAGGGTGTCTTTGGATTGGTTAACTCATCCATGTTATTTCCCCCATATGTTTCCATTCTGTTATTTCTTTAACCTTACTTCAATCTTGTTACGCCTCTACAAATGAAATCGTTGATACTGCCACGCTAGTTCTGGCTCAATGATATGGCATCTCTGTGTAATAGTTGCACTTTTAGTGGAACTTATCATAAACTGAATCTCTATATTTCTCACCAGAGAGGTGGACTGGATCTTAACCCCTGTGACGCTTGTTTTTGGGATTTTCAGGAAATTGGCCTCGCCCATTTTTTGGTACTCATCTCGTTCTACGGGAGGCTTCTCTGTCATAACGGGTCAGTTTAGTTTCTTTCTTTTCATAATGTTCGTATCGCTTATTATTATTTATTTTTAGGCTCTATGGCGACTCAAGTCCTCTTAGCTTTGTAAACGCGTACAAGCTCACGTTTTCTGAGAAACTGTGGACCAACCCCTCCCCTAAACCAGCATTTTACCCTAACGAGAAATCAGTGTTAACGTTGGGTTAGGGGAGGGATAAGTGGGTGGTTTCTCACTGATCTCATTTTGATCCAGAACAAGTAATTAATTTAATCAACTTATCCACTCCGGAGATTGCTCACAAACATATCGTTCACGTGTTTAAATGTTGGCACGCGTTCACATGGGTTATGATTTTGATTTTGAAGGCAATTGAGCAATTTATGAAATGGGTTCTATGATGAACATTATTGAAACATTTTAAGCCCCATGGAAATCGAAACTGGATTTTTTTAACTGAAAGCTTGCGTAAACTACAGTCAATTCCCTCCTGACCGTGCCCTTTTGTTGAGCGAATACCTTTCTAATGGAAGAGTTGGTACTTGCCGTTTTTCTTATTTTCTTTTATTTGACTTTGCACAAGGGAGGCAACTGTTAGTGACGGACAAATGATATTAGTGTTTGGGAAGGTATCCGTCCCATAGAAATTGGAGTTGACCAACACGTTGGTATCATTAAAGTACCAGTACATCAATCCGTGTCTCGTCATCATCATCATCTCAATAGGTCGATAAAAACCGGTTATGTGACACACCAACCACTTACAAAATGTAAAAGAAAAAATTACACGCAACAATAAGTATAATATAGAATAAAAAGTCGGCAAGAGAAGTAATATGAGGCATATCAGCCGAGGGAGGAGCTGATTACAGTCTCTAGCAGTTCTTGGGGAAAAGGAAACTTGAACAAAACTTTCTTACAGTGAGGTTCAAGAAGCTTAAGCCTATGGCTGCTTGTAGTACGGGATTCATTGCTAAAGTTTCTTAA